GTACCTGCATGCTTGCTCTTACCTACATGTATATATATAGGTCAGACTCAGGGTCAGGGATGGCAGGAAGAGAGGACTCAGGAGGATGCGGCAGAGGAACACGCAGTGGAATAGAGGAAGGACGAAGTGCCATAGCGTGGGTGCCGAGGACAGGAGGAGGACGCGGACCAGGAACCCGACGACCAGTGCAAACAGCACGAACATGCGAGGCAGGACGAGACTCAGGCTCACGACGCTCTGTGAAAGAGTCTGTCTGCTCAGCGTAAGGAGAAGGAGCAGGCAATGGGGAGTCTAGCTGTAACTGTGGCTGCGACGGGCGAGGCGGTGGATTCAGTAAGCTAGGACGAAGGCCAGCAGAAGACAGGAGACTAAGAACTTGGGGAAGCAGGGGAACAAAAAACGGTCGCCGCCGCACTGTGCCTCCAGCACCAGTACCGCCGGACACAGCACCCCCAGCTCCAACGCCTCCAGCTCCATGGTCAACAGCTCCAATGTCTCCAGCTCCAGCTCCTCCAGCTCCAAACCCACCAGCGCCAATGCCTCCAGCTCCAGCGCCAATAGCTCCTGTGTCTCTAGCTCCAGCTCCTCCAGCTCCAGCGCCACCAGCGCCAGTGCCTCCAGCTCCAGCGGCTCCAGCCCCAGCACCTCCAGGCTCCGCAAGGTCTCCAGCTCCAGCTCCTCCAGCGCCAACGCCCCCAACAGTACCAGTCCCGGCAGCTCCAGTACCCCTGGTACGAGCACCTCCAGGACCAGCAGCTGCAGCACCTCCGGTACCACCAGCTCCAGCAGTAACTCCAACAACTTCAGCGGCAGATTCTCCAGCTCCAGCAGCTCCACTCCGAAGGCGTGTGCGCTGAGCAAACCACTCGCGAAGCTGCTGCGGGGAGAGAGGCTCCGGCCGGGGAGACACACGTGGGGAAGCACCCGCAAGACCTCCAGAAGAAGCAGTACCCCGAGGCTTAGCACCCCCAGACTCCGCACCCTCAGACTCAGCACCCCCAAGCTCCACACCCTCAGGCTCAGCACCCCCAGGCTCCACACCCGCAGGCTCATCACCCCCAGGCTCCGCACCCCCAGGCTCAGCACCCCCAGACCCGGCACCCTCATACTCAGCACCCCCAGGCTCCGCACCCCCAGACGCAGCACCCCCAGATGCAGCACCTCGAGCAGCACTTGAGGCTACAGCTACCTCAACATGCACAGTACTAGGGAGAGGGTCTACCTGAGACACAATTGAGGGAGCAGGACCCTGGGGGGGGAGGGGGTCTATTGGAGGGGGACCTGGAGCAAGGAAGAACGGCGGGGGTGCGAGAGCTTGTCCGCGAACGTATCGCGAACAAAGGCACGAGAGCCCCAGACCCGGAACACCGATGCATCGCCAACCTCCCCCGTCCAACGCAGTGTCGGCGAGGTCTCCGGCAAGGAGACACGGGGCCAGAGGTTGAGCTGATGCGCAGCATACCGGACCGCAAACGGCCACAGAAAATGGGGAACAACTCGCATGGATCATGGAGGTACGAGCCACTTCCATGACTAAGCCAATGCGGCGCTCAGCAATCCCATTTTGCTGAAGGGAGGCCGGAAGCGTGAACGACTGGAGAATGCCCTCCCCATGACAAAAGTCCCGCAAGAGGTCGGAGGAGAACTCACCACCTCTGTCAGAGTGCAGACGCAGGACAGGAAGGTCCTGGCGGAAACGCTCGCGGAGCTGGAGACGGACTGTGCGGATCCAAGGGATCAAGACATCAGGGACCTCACCCTTGTTGCGCAAGGGGAAGACCATGGTGTAATGCGTGTAGTCGTCAACAACCAGCAGAAAGTAGTGCTCGCGGCCCTGTCCACTGACTCGGGCTGGGCCCCACACGTCCATGTGGAGAGTCTACAGGGGAGCAGTCGTCGGGGGAAACGAGGAGGAGTGAGGAGCGGCGCGCTGCCGCCCCTCGACGCAAGGAAGGCAGGGCGGGGCAGGCGAGGGCGGGAGGGGAGGCAGAGACATGGAAAGACCAGAGACAAGGAGGCGGGAGTGCATGCCACGAAGGCGTGGCAGGGAGGGGTGACCAAGGCGGTGGTGCCACAGAAGATTCTGGTGCGACAGGAGGCGACACGAGCAAGGGGGTGCTACCGGACCTGACACGGACACATGGGCGGACGCAGCTACCTAAGAAGGCTCGGTAGCCAGTGTGTACAGACTCGACCCTGGCCGACGACTGAACGTGGCCAGGTGACGGCCCACCGTGTACACGCTGACCCCCAGGAGTGGTGGTAGTGACCATCGAATCCTGGAGGGCAGCGGTACTCACCAAGTTCGTAGAGAACGAGGGGAGGTGAAGACTTGATAGTGAGCCAGACGGAACCGCCGGATACGGGAGAACAGTGGAGGAACGGGCAAGAACTGGGCCCCCTGAGGGGTCAGCCAGTCTGACCGGTACAGGTGCAGAGAGAGGAGTGAGGGTGGTGCTGTCGCGAAAGAAACAGCGTGAAGCACCTGAGTCAAGCGTAAAGGTGTGCAAGGCCTCAGCAGGCGCAGTACCAGAGAGAGCAGACTCACTAGCACCTAGAGCAGCAGCCTCTATACCTGGGTCAGGCGGCACACACAGGCAATAGTCACCCTCAGCACTAACAGACAAGGCATACATAGCAGCAAGGATAGCATCATATTGAAGGTCAAAGATAGCAACTTCAGACCTAAGCAGCTCTACCCAGCGGGGGCGCTTGGCGTCGTAACCAAACTATGCGCGCCAAGCATCATCTCGGCGAGAGAAGCAGCGGTGCTGAGTGTGAGGCTTCTTGCATGTCTGACCAGCACGGTCAACTGTGCGAATGACATACGGGCAGCTACCACTACCCCTAGACGCCCCACGCTGAGAAAACCACTCACGAAGCTGCTGGGGCGACGAGGTCTCGCTCGGACGCTGCTGCTGTTGCCTCTAGCCACCTCCAGAACCTCCCCTCGGAAAAGCTCTAGCCCTACCGCCACCACTCCCACTGCTGCCGCTACCGCCACCCCCACCGCTGCCACCGCCGCCGCCACCAAAGCCCCTACTCCCGCCACCACTCCCACCACCGCCACCACCTCCACTGCCTCCACCACCTCCACTGTTGCCCCCACCACCACCCCCGCTGCCACCGCCACCACCCCTGCCACCCTTGCCCTTGCTGCTGCGGCGCTTTCCACTAGCAGAAGCAGCTCCGACATCCTTGGCACCAAGGACGTCAACAGCAGCAGCAGAGGCGAAGGAGGGGGCAAGGGGGGAGGGGGAACACCCCTCAAAGAAGGGCGTGCGAGGAGTGCCACGAGCGGCACCTACAGCGACTACACTAGTCTCAGCTGCAAGGAGGTGCTGCTCGAGTAGGTCAACAGTGAGGGTTGTGGTGGTCCCTGACAGCGCGAAGAGAGTCAGGGAGGCGGGTGACTATAAAGTAGAGAGTGATGTACATCGGGGGCGGGTTCCTGTCAAGGAACTCTGCTGGGAGGGCAGCACGGTAGCGAGCGTCGCTAGTGCGAAGGTGGGTAATGAGGTCCTCTACTGTGGCAAAGGTGGACAGCTCGGGAAACAGGTAGGGCAGGAGAAGACTTCCTAGAGCTGCAGTGGCAGGCGAGGAGTAACGGGCGACTACAGCGTCGTACAGTGCCTGTGCAGTGCTGTGCTGTGCGAAGTGAGCGCATTCGGCTAACGGCAGGTGGTTGCGAATGGCTAAGCGAGAAGCAGCATCATGAGTAAGCCACTGTGAGCGAGTCGCACTGTCAGCTGTGGCGGGAGGGGCGGGAGGGGCGGGAGAGGCTCCAGACGTGTGGTCAAACAACGAAACGCTGTCTCTAGAGTCGCTCAGTAGGTACAGCTGTAAGTCGTCGAGCCACGTGTCGAACTGGATCGGACGGCCCTCATGATCGAACGCGAGTACGCAGAGAGAAGCCATAGCAGCGCAGCATGCAGGGCAGGCAGGAGCCGGGCAGCGCAAGGAACAGGGCAGGTAGCAGCAAGGGGCGGCAAGCGGGCTGCAATTGGCGGCGCGCAGGCTGCAAGAGGGGCGGCTCGCGGGCCTAGGGGCGGCTGGCGGGCCTAGGGGCGGTGGGCGGGCCGCAAGGGGCGACGTGCGGGGCTGCAGGGGCGGCGAGAGGGCTGCAAGGGGCGGCGCGCGGGGCCTAGGGTTGACGGGCGGGCCGCAAGGGGCGGCGCGCGAGGCAGCAGGGGCGGCGGGGCGGGCCGCAGGAGGCGGCGCGCGGAGCTGCAGGGGCGGCGAGAGGGCCGCAAGGGGTGGCGCGCGGGGCTGCAGGGGCGGCTCGCGGGCTGCAGGGGCGAAGGGCGGGCCGTGCTCCTGGGCTTTGCTTTGTTTGCTTTTCCTGACTTGTCTTGTGACCACTGTTTGGTTTGGCTATCCCCTACTTCACTAATGGGGGTGTGTCAATACATTATATGCATTCTATCTCTCTAGGTTATGTAGGGGTTATCCTTAGAAGGTACAACACATTTCTCGACACTCTTGTACCCCCCCCTCCCCCCCCCCCCCCCTCCCCTTACCTAATCCATTCCTCTTCTCTTAGTTCAACATTGACGACGCGTTGGGGCGCGATGCGTACGTGGAGCACCCGGAGCACAAGGCGTACACGGGGGTGTTTTTCCAGGGGCTGGAGGACGGCATCGTGCTCGACTACGTGCACTCCGTTCCCCTCTCCCGCTTCTACTCCTGACCGCCTCACTCTCTGCCTCTCACCTCCTAGCTGGCGCTATGAAAGCTGAAGATATCTTTGTGCTGATTTTACCAGTTGCTGGAATATGGTATCTGTGCACTGTATAATTACGGTACATGGCACAGCCATGTGGGAGCATGTCACAGTGTTGCCTGCTTCAGGCATGCCAGCAACCATCCCATTCACTTGTCGAGCACAAATCTAGGGCACAAGGGGAAGTGCCCGTATCGCTTACGGATACAACAAAGCCCATTGAGCAACAAATAACAGCACCTGGAAACGGGTGCGTGCTCCTTATCTACTGAGTCTGTTACAGTGGTTGGTACGGCTTGTCCCCAGGAGGCACGGGCTGGGGCGCATCCCTGAGCTGCAGCTGCTCCCCCATCTCCTCCTGCAACAGCCACGAGTACGCCGCCCACCCGCCCGCCACTAGACGACCGGCATTGACAGAAAGTTCCTGGAAGGGCGAGCGCATGAGGAGCAGCTCCCTCAGGATCGCTGCCTTGAGGGGCGCCACCTGTGCTGGCTTGTCTGACGTGGCGTCCTTGCGCTTGCTGTGGCGCCCCCACCCCGTGACTATATCGATGGCCTCCGGGATCTCATTGTGCCACTGGGACATGCGCAGGCAGACAGGCAGGCAGGGGGCAGGGGGCAGGGGGCAGGGGGCAGGGGGCAGGGGGCAGGGGGCAAGGGGCAGGGGGCAGGGAGCATGGAGGGGCGGCACGCAGGGAGGAAGAGCAAGGGGATGAGAGAGTGGAGGGAGTTTGACGGATGGAAGGGGGATTGGTGAGGATTGGGAAGCGAGAGACGAGAGAGTTGGTGCTATCTCGTAATGGGGAGGCACGAAGAGGTACGCTCACAATGCACAGGCAGTGGGCACCAGGACACAATGGCACGAGCAATTCCCTTTCCAGAAACTACACCCTCCACTCTCCCCAATCTCCCTTTCCCTGTAACCTCTCCCCTGCCCCCTGGCTTTGGTGCACCTGCCACGCGGTGCGCAGGTCGCGGAGCCAGAGGAAGAGGAAGGCGCAAGCGGAGCCGATGGAGTGCTCGTGCAGGTCCACACTCCACACGCCCTCCTCTCTCCACATACCCCCGCCCCTGCCGCCCCCCCCACCCCTCTGCTTGCCACTCCCAGTACCACTCCCACTCTCACTCTCACTGCCACTGCTGCTGCTCTCCCTGCGCCCCGCGCCCCCCCTGCGTGCACCGCGCGCCTCCTTGTGCAGGTCATCGGCCCCGCCGTACACGCCCAGGCCGCGGCCCAGCGCCACCACGCGGGCAGCGCGGCGTCGCATGCCGAAGCTCCAGAGCACGTCGGCCAGAGCGTTGTAGAAGGAGCGGCGCATGGGCAGCGGCACCGCCTGAAACGCACCAAACATCCTCCCTGCCGACTCCCACAGCCCCTCGTCCGACCTCTCGCCCCTCCTGCCTGCCCCTCCCCGCGCCCCTCCTCTCACCAGTCCCTCCACCACCTCCTCCTCGCTCGCACACTCGACTCCTTCCTCCTCTGGGCCAGCCATCACGAGGCGACACATGGCGACTTCCCATTCGCCGCCAGTCCTCTGCAGGCAGTACAGCAGCTCCAGCGCATCCTCCCACTTCTCGCACCGCGCACAAGCAGACAAAATGGCTGCATACGTGATCAGATTCGGGCGGCACCCCTCGGCCTGCATGCGTTCAAACGCCCCTGCTGCCTTGGCATACAGCCCCGCCTTCCCAAACGCGTCAATCAAGCAGCTCCAGCTGTACACCGACGGGCGGTAACCGCACGTAACCATGGCGGCGAGCGTGGCCTCCGCCTCCTCGTAGTTACCCGCTTTGCCGTGGGCGTCCAGCACGGTGAGAAACGTGACCTCATTGGGCGGCACGCCTGCACGCTGCATGGCAGCCAGAGTCTCCGTGACCCGATCGGACAGCCCAGCGCGGCCAAAGGCAGCCATGAGGGCCGTGTAGGAGAACACGTCTGGGGAGATGCCCGCCTGCAGCATGCGGTGAAACGCCTCCTCGGCTCGCTCCACGTCGCCCATGCGGCCGTACGCGTCCACGAGCGCGGTGAACGTGATGCCGTCGGGCGCCATGGCGGTGCGCTCCATGGCCTGCAGCGTGGCCTCTGCGTCGGGGGCGCGGCCCGCCTTGCCGCAGGCGTTGATAATGGTGTTGAATGTGACTATGTTGGGGGCCACCTGGGAGTCCAGCACGCCCGATGACAGGTCCTCCAGCACCTGGGGGGCGAGTGGGGTGGGGTATGGAGGATGGGGGTTAGTGAAGTTGGAAGGTGTGGCTGATGCATGCGGTGGAGCAGAACCAAAATGTATGAGATGGGTTTATGCACCAAGTGCACCAGCTCACCGTGTTGCACCAGCAAACCGTATTCACACCAGCAAACCGTACTCACACCAGCAAACCGTATTCCCACCAGCAAACCGCATTCACACCAGCAAACCGCATTCACACCAGCAAACCGTATTCACACCAGCAAACCGTATTCACACCAGCAAACCGTATTCACACCAGCAAACCGCATTCACACCAGCAAACCGCATTCACACCAGCAAACCGTATTCACACCAGCAAACCGTATTCACACCAGCAAACCGCATTCACACCAGCAAACCGCATTCTCACCAGAAAACCGTATTCACACCAGCAATCCGTATTCACACCAGCAAACCGTATTCACACCAGCAAACCGTATTCACACCAGCAAACCGTATTCACACCAGCAAACCGTATTCACACCAGCAAACCGTATTCACACCAGCAAACCGTATTCACACCAGCAAACCGTATTCACACCAGCAAACCGTATTCACACCAGCAAACCGTATTCACACCAGCAAACCGTATTCACACCAGCAAACCGTATTCACACCAGCAAACCGCATTCACACCAGCAAACCGTAGTCACACCAGCAAACCATATTCACACCAGCAAACCGCATTCACACCAGCAAACCGTATTCACACCAGCAAACCGTATTCACACCAGCAAACCGCATTCACACCAGCAAACCGCATTCACACCAGCAAACCGCATTCACACCAGCAAACCGTATTCACACCAGCAAACCGTATTCACACCAGCAAACCGTATTCACACCAGCAAACCGCATTCACACCAGCAAACCGCATTCACACCAGCAAACCGCATTCACACCAGCAAACCGTATTCACACCAGCAAACCGTATTCACACCAGCAAACCGCATTCACACCAGCAAACCGCATTCACACCAGAAAACCGTATTCACACCAGCAAACCGTATTCACACCAGCAAACCGTATTCACACCAGCAAACCGTATTCACACCAGCAAACCGTATTCACACCAGCAAACCGTATTCACACCAGCAAACCGTATTCACACCAGCAAACCGTATTCACACCAGCAAACCGTATTCACACCAGCAAACCGTATTCACACCAGCAAACCGTATTCACACCAGCAAACCGTATTCACACCAGCAAACCGCATTCACACCAGCAAACCGTAGTCACACCAGCAAACCATATTCACACCAGCAAACCGCATTCACACCAGCAAACCGTATTCACACCAGCAAACCGTATTCACACCAGCAAACCGTATTCACACCAGCAAACCGCATTCACACCAGCAAACCGCATTCACACCAGCAAACCGCATTCACACCAGCAAACCGTATTCACACCAGCAAACCGTATTCACACCAGCAAACCGCATTCACACCGGCAAACTGTATTCCCACCAGCAAACCGCATTCACACCAGCAAACCGTATTCACACCAGCAAACCGTATTCACACCAGCAAACCGTATTCACACCAGCAAACCGTATTCACACCAGCAAACCGTATTCACACCAGCAAACCGTATTCACACCAGCAAACCGCATTCACACCAGCAAACCGCATTCACACCAGCAAACCGTATTCACACCAGCAAACCGCATTCACACCAGCAAACCGCATTCACACCAGCAAACCGCATTCACACCAGCAAACCGTATTCACACCAGCAAACCGTATTCACACCAGCAAACCGCATTCACATCGGCAAACTGTATTCACACCAGCAAACCGCATTCACACCAGCAAACCGTATTCACACCAGCAAACCGTATTCACACCAGCAAACCGTATTCACACCAGCAAACCGTATTCACACCAGCAAACCGTATTCACACCAGCAAACCGTATTCACACCAGCAAACCGCATTCACACCAGCAAACCGCATTCACACCAGCAAACCGTATTCACACCAGCAAACCGTATTCACACCAGCAAACCGTATTCACACCAGCAAACCGCATTCACACCAGCAAACCGTATTCACACCAGCAAACCGCATTCACACCAGCAAACCGCATTCATACCAGCAAACCGTATTCACACCAGCAAACCGTATTCACAACAGCAAACCGTATTCACACCAGCAAACCGTATTCACACCAGCAAACCGTATTCACACCAGCAAACCGTATTCACACCAGCAAACCGTATTCACACCAGCAAACCGTATTCACACCAGCAAACCGAATTCACACCAGCAAACCGTATTCACACCAGCAAACCGTATTCACACCAGCAAACCGCATTCACACCAGCAAACCGTATTCACACCAGCAAACCATATTCACACCAGCAAACCGCATTCACACCAGCAAACCGTATTCACACCAGCAAACCGTATTCACAACAGCAAACCGTATTCACACCAGCAAACCGTATTCACACCAGCAAACCGTATTCACACCAGCAAACCGTATTCACACCAGCAAACCGTATTCACACCAGCAAACCGTATTCACACCAGCAAACCGAATTCACACCAGCAAACCGTATTCACACCAGCAAACCGTATTCACACCAGCAAACCGCATTCACACCAGCAAACCGTATTCACACCAGCAAACCGCATTCACACCAGCAAACCGCATTCACACCAGCAAACCGCATTCACACCAGCAAACCGTATTCACACCAGCAAACCGTATTCACACCAGCAAACCGTATTCACACCAGCAAACCGCATTCACACCAGCAAACCGCATTCACACCAGCAAACCGTATTCACACCAGCAAACCGTATTCACACCAGCAAACCGTATTCACACCAGCAAACCGCATTCACACCAGCAAACCGTATTCACACCAGCAAACCGCATTCACACCAGCAAACCGCATTCACACCAGCAAACCGTATTCACACCAGCAAACCGTATTCACAACAGCAAACCGTATTCACACCAGCAAACCGTATTCACACCAGCAAACCGTATTCACACCAGCAAACCGTATTCACACCAGCAAACCGTATTCACACCAGCAAACCGTATTCACACCAGCAAACCGAATTCACACCAGCAAACCGTATTCACACCAGCAAACCGTATTCACACCAGCAAACCGCATTCACACCAGCAAACCGTATTCACACCAGCAAACCATATTCACACCAGCAAACCGCATTCACACCAGCAAACCGCATTCACACCAGCAAACCGTATTCACACCAGCAAACCGTATTCACACCAGCAAACCGCATTCACACCGGCAAACCGTATTCACACCAGCAAACCGCATTCACACCAGCAAACCGTATTCACACCAGCAAACCGTATTCACACCAGCAAACCGTATTCACACCAGCAAACCGTATTCACACCAGCAAACCGTATTCACACCAGCAAACCGTATTCACACCAGCAAACCGCATTCACACCAGCAAACCGCATTCACACCAGCAAACCGTATTCACACCAGCAAACCGTATTCACACCAGCAAACCGTATTCACACCAGCAAACCGCATTCACACCAGCAAACCGTATTCACACCAGCAAACCGCATTCACACCAGCAAACCGCATTCACACCAGCAAACCGTATTCACACCAGCAAACCGTATTCACAACAGCAAACCGTATTCACACCAGCAAACCGTATTCACACCAGCAAACCGCATTCACACCAGCAAACCGTATTCACACCAGCAAACCGTATTCACACCAGCAAACCGTATTCACACCAGCAAACCGCATTCACACCAGCAAACCGTATTCACACCAGCAAACCGTATTCACACCAGCAAACCGTATTCACACCAGCAAACCGCATTCACACCAGCAAACCGCATTCACACCAGCAAACCGTATTCACACCAGCAAACCGTATTCACAACAGCAAACCGTATTCACACCAGCAAACCGTATTCACACCAGCAAACCGCATTCACACCAGCAAACCGTATTCACACCAGCAAACCGTATTCACACCAGCAAACCGTATTCACACCAGCAAACCGCATTCACACCAGCAAACCGTATTCACACCAGCAAACCGTATTCACACCAGCAAACCGTATTCACACCAGCAAACCGTATTCACACCAGCAAACCGTATTCACACCAGCAAACCGCATTCACACCAGCAAACCGCATTCACACCAGCAAACCGTATTCACACCAGCAAACCGTATTCACACCAGCAAACCGTATTCACACCAGCAAACCGTATTCACACCAGCAAACCGTATTCACACCAGCAAACCGCATTCACACCAGCAAACCGTATTCACACCAGCAAACCGCATTCACACCAGCAAACCGCATTCATACCAGCAAACCGTATTCACACCAGCAAACCGTATTCACAACAGCAAACCGTATTCACACCAGCAAACCGTATTCACACCAGCAAACCGTATTCACACCAGCAAACCGTATTCACACCAGCAAACCGTATTCACACCAGCAAACCGTATTCACACCAGCAAACCGAATTCACACCAGCAAACCGTATTCACACCAGCAAACCGTATTCACACCAGCAAACCGCATTCACACCAGCAAACCGTATTCACACCAGCAAACCATATTCACACCAGCAAACCGCATTCACACCAGCAAACCGTATTCACACCAGCAAACCGTATTCACAACAGCAAACCGTATTCACACCAGCAAACCGTATTCACACCAGCAAACCGTATTCACACCAGCAAACCGTATTCACACCAGCAAACCGTATTCACACCAGCAAACCGTATTCACACCAGCAAACCGAATTCACACCAGCAAACCGTATTCACACCAGCAAACCGTATTCACACCAGCAAACCGCATTCACACCAGCAAACCGTATTCACACCAGCAAACCGCATTCACACCAGCAAACCGCATTCACACCAGCAAACCGCATTCACACCAGCAAACCGTATTCACACCAGCAAACCGTATTCACA